GTACAGCAGTAGTAAGTGGGTAATAAAAACGCTGGATGCCCCTTTCTTTAGAATTCCAGCCCATAAACTTGAATTGCTTATAATTCCGTTCCTGTCTGCGCTTCCTTATCGACAATGCTCATCGACAGTGGCAGTTAGCTGGGCGCATTTCTCATGAATCTTGCGCCAAGCTCGTTCAACCACAGTCGGGTCAAAAGCTTCCGCAGGGCCGTCGTCGTAAACGGTTATCGGACGTGGCAATCACCTCCCACGAGGTGCTCTAAAAATGGAGAGAGCCACCGGTGCCGCGGCATTTTTTTGCTTTTACCTGCACGTTTCAGCGCCTGATTGACTGTTTCCACCTCGAGGAAGACTGATATATTTTATTTACCTCAGGTACGGCGTTAATCTTGTCGGTCTTGCTTGAGCGGCTGTACTTTCAGTCGTTGCAGTCCCTCGACAACGTTCAAAGCATGCTCTGACTAATAACCCAGAATATTGTAGGGTACAATTCAGCGAGCACAAGCATATGACAGATGTTGGGTTAAATTGTGCATAATAATGAAGAAAGTGGCCGGGAAGCCGTCTGTGATTGAAATTCTGACTTTGCAGAAAACATACATAACCTCAGGTAGCCTTCCTGTAGAGCTAAAGAGTCAATTCAAAGACTTTTTGTGCGAACATAAGCGCTTGTCCAAAACAACATTATGGTACCAGTAAGCTTCTAGCTATCGACCTCCTAAAAATACCAAGAAAAACTTGAAAACGACAGTACTTTTGTACGTTTGTCATAAAGTTGAATGTATTGTGTACCATTTATCGCATCCATAGGCGGATTAGATATAACGTCCGTGCACATTACGATGTTTTACGATTATTGTACCTCCATGCGGAAAGAAATGGTGTTCAATGGTCTGAATAGTATATTACCTTCTATGCTAATGCCCGCGGTTTGTCAAGTGCTCCCACACGCTGTCGGGCTTTCTGTTTTGTTTGAGCCCAACGACGCCTTATGGTACAGTTTAGTACAGCGTTATTGTTTTCTTAAAACCATCTGAAGTCCTTTCAGTTTTTATGTTGATCTACCTTTTTCTTGCTAATGTCAGCCTAGTGGGACTAATGCACATTTTTACTACAAAAACATTTTTAAAGGTATCATCTTCAGTAGCTTATGACAGAAATGTCAAGACATGAAACTGAATATTTTGTCTATGGTTCTGAATCGTTCACTATGAAGAGACCATTATATGATTAACGTGAATCAGTATGAAGAGACCATGGGCCATTGATTGCAATCCTTTATATTTTGTTTAACGAAATGGCGTGACTAATCGATGCAAGTACCCATTCTAACTGCCATAATCCGGTAATGGTGTAGTTTCGGCGGAAGATATACAACCATTTCTGATGTATGGAGTCCATGCTTTTTGCCAGCCCTTCAGTGTTAAAAGCCTTCTTCCAGAGACCTGTCCCACATAATCGCATGGTGTTGCCACGAGGTAGGGTTGCGCAGGTACATTAGCGAGTATGCGCTGTTGAGCCATCCCAGGCCTGTTGAATCAGTGTCAGCGTAGACGAGATCTGGCCACGGGTCTTCAAACGGTCCGTATCACAGCAGAAGTAGAGCCGCACCAATGTCGCTGAGTCCGTCAGGTCAGACAGCTCGGTGCCGTTGAGGCTGAAGTGTCCTAATCGACTGTGAGGATATGACGAAGTTGCAGGTATGTTATTGTATTGAGTGAGGAAAACGCACTTTCAAAACTCCATTAGATGTTGACTCAGAGATAGTTGTGTCTGCCATTTAGTATATATTGTCAGTGCTTCGCATGCCTGAAGGATGCATGGTGATACTCTCTCGCTACCTTTTGAATCTTGCATTGCAACGTGCGTGCTCATTGTAGTAACTCATTCGGCGGCGGTTGTGTTCTAATCGAGTGTAAGGATCTAACAATGTTGCAGACCTGTATGTTATTTTGTATTGAGTGAGGAAAACGCACTTTCAAAACTCCATTAAATGTTGACTCAGAGATAGTTGTGTCTGCCATTTAGTATATTTTCAGTGATTCGCATGCCTGAAGGATGATGATACTCTCTCGCTACCTTTTGAATCTTGCATTGCGGCGTACGTGCTCATTGCAGTAACTCATTCGGCGGCTGTCCGCCCTATAACGTTCAGAGAATTCAAATAGACAGGTGCAGGTGTAACTGAGATATTAGTACATTCCTGTGGCACCTGACAGGCAGCACCTTTGGACTAATGTTCCACCAATTAAGTCATCAGCGCGCTTTGAACATATCGGTCAAATCAATCAAGAGATCGTGTGCATTCTCGGAGGGTTTCCGGAGAGGGCGTTTGACTTTGTCAGAGGTACCTGAGTTGTAAAAAGTGGGTCTCTACACGTTCATATTATTCCTGTGGGAACTGGGCAATCAATGAACCAAGTCCGGCATCTGGTTCAGGAGTACTCACTGATGGAAGTCTCAGCTTGGACTTGAAATCGATCTTTATTATACAACAGCAGGCAAGCATATTACTCTGAATTTTGATTATATTTGAAAAGATTGGCTACATGAAATTAACAATCATATAAGGTCACAATTATATCGTTGTTTATCAAGAAAAAATCACTTTGCCATAAAAGCATGTTTCCAGTTTTTAGTAAACCGGGGGCCATGGATAACGTTTCGGCCAATTTACTAGATACGTGCGTAATAGCGTAAGGTCATAAATATGTTGTATTAGTACAGCATTTACATGTCGTCCGTAGCGGTGCTAAGTTCAATAATAGTAATGGACTAATCACATATTCAACAGGTGTAGTAGGTATAGGACCTGAGAATTTTTGTATCTGTTTCTTCGCAAAGTGACGCCTTCATTTTGCAGTCTCCTGTTACAGACTGATAAGGAAATATGGCTTCACGTACAGCAAGAACGTCTAGTTAGAGTAGGATTGATGTTCACGAAAACAGAGTATTCGAGATCGACGCAGACATCATTAAATGTTTTACAGATATTTCGTTTATGTTTATCTATATGTTCATTACAGTCTAAAGACAACTTGGAGACCTCGAAGTAGCTATTCTTTACATCGATTTTGCGTTCTGTCGTTTTGGCTCGCAATTTTTCCTACCTCAACGGAGTTCATTATGGAACAGTCCCATATTTCACAGAAAGCGTCGTGCTCAGTCATAAGCCTAGGAAAGCCGCCAGTTACCTCAGTGTGGTAATAGCCAAGGTTTGACAATTCCCTCCGTGAATATGAAAAGCTCGCCTGTTGAATAGAGCTCCCGACTGTGCTTTCATCTGGCCTTCACAAAATACGACAATGTGATTTTTCACGTCCCTATGAAATCTCTACGGCTTCCTGTTTCCGTGTGCTTTCTGCTTCATCTTTCTTTACCACAATAGTTCAAGCGTCAGACTCACAGCAGGCAAGTCTCAAAGTTAACAGGTCGGTACAAAGACGCTGTGTCTATGCTGTCACTCAAGACAGAAAACGTCTTACTTTGGTCATGAAAGGATCTAGTAGGAAACCACCAGTTACCTAATAGTGTATATAGCACTATAAATATAAGGCGAAGTTTTGACAATTCCCTTCGTGAATATGAAAAGCTCGCCTGTTGAATAGAGCTTTCATCTGGCCTTCACAAGAAATGACAATGTGATTTTTCACGTCCTGTTGAAATCTCTGCGGCTTCCTGTTTCCGTGTGCTTTCTGTTCCGTCTTTCTTTACCACAATAGTTCAAGCGTCAGACTCTCAGCATGCAAGTCTCGAAGTTAACAGGTGGGTGCAACGACGCTTTGTCTATGCTGTCACTCAAGACAGAAACGTCTTACTCAAGTTATGAAAGGCTCTAGTAGGAACCCACCAGCTACCTAATAGTGTATATAGCACTATATATATAAAGCCAAGGTTTGACAATTCCTTTTATGAATATGAAAAGCTAGCATGTTGAAAAGAGCTTTCATCTGGCCTTCACAAGAAATGACAATGTGATTTTTCACGTCCTGTTGAAATCTCTGCGGCTTGCTGTTTCCGTTTGCTTTCTGTTCCATCTTTCTTTACCACAATAGTTCAAGCGTCAGACTCTCAGCATGCAAGGTGCGAAGTTAAAGGGTCTGTACAAAGACGCTGTGTCTATGGTGTCACTCAAGACAGAAAACGTCTTACTCAAGTTATGAAAGGCTCTAGTAGGAAACCACCAGTTGCCTAACAGTGTATATAGTACTACATATATAAAGCCAAGGTTTGACAATTCCCTTTGTGAATATGAAAAGCTCGCATGTTGAAAAGAGCTTTCATCTGGCCTTCACAAAAAATGACAATGTGATTTTTCACGTCCTTATGAAATCTCTGCGGCTTCGTGTTTACGTGTACTTTCTATTCCTTCTTTCTTTGATACCTCTGTGCACGCGTCATTCTCTCAACATGCATGTGGGGAAGTTAACGGGTCGGTACAAAGACACCATGCCTTTGGTGTCAATCAAGATGAATACCTTGGATTTTAACGTTGACACTTGCGTGTGGGGTTACCAAACTCCTGTAAGGTGTGTGCATCCGTCAACTCTTTAGAGCTGACATGATGACGATGAAATACGACAGTTCCTGAAAATACTAGAAGTCAGACGTGATACGCATTATTCAATAAAAAAGACAAATAAAATCTGCTTATGTTCAGGGAACATCTAATCTTGCAAATCATCCTTCAAGATCTTGATTTCTGCAGCCATGCCTCAGCTAATATAATTTTAAAATGTGCGTTATTTCAATCTTCCATCTGTTTCAGGTATGGCGAGCTAGTCTAACAAATGCTTTTGCCAGTTGCAAATATGAGTTCAGGGACCTGTACTATAATTTTTGTCAATATGTATGAGGCGTTCTGTATGCGCGGTGTTCCGAAGAACACCCAGGAGGGTAGCACTATTACGGGGGTTCATTTTCAGTCCCTTAGAGGAATGACTTTGGGTAGTTAGATCTCCGGATCCCATAACGTCAGTGTGCGCTTTCGTGTTTTTCAGACATGAGGAACGAGACGGTGAACTGTACCGGGACGCCGGAGGAGGTCTACGCGGGCGGCGGGTGGAGTCTGCCGCCGATCGCCGTCATCGTCTCCGCGGTGTTGTTCGTCTGCTTCCTGCTGAGTATCCTGATCAGTAAAGGGTTTCAGTACCTGGTGAACAACACGAATCTGATCGTCCCCGTGGTGGAGGACCGGCTACAGCCGCCAGGGGGCCGGCGGATCCGCGCCAGCAGGATCAGTCTCAGCTCTCTCGCGAGAAGATCGAGACGGCGACACGACGCGAGAAGTCGGCTGGTCGCTGTGAACGGACATGCCGGAGTCCTCAACGGAAACGGAAACACCGTCATGGCGTCGACGGTAGACGACGCCAGCGCGAGAGAACGGAAACACTCCTCCGATGCCGGGCTGCGCCCTCCCCACACCGTCTCCATGCCGGATATCACCGACGTCCGGAACGGAATTGTGGACGTCCGGACTAGACCAGACGAATTCCGGAATTCTAGTAGATCGTCGTTGAGAATGGACCGAATCAGCAGTCCCCGTCTGCCCTGGACGAAAAAACGTAGCAGAAGCTGCAGGACTAAATCAGACAGAACGCCGTGGGTGGACATCCCTGTTGTCATTGTCCATCCGCCCTAACCTTAACAACATTCAGAACCAGACACTATGTACCGTCACGTCGCGTATTGACTATATGTCACGTGGCTCAAGTTGCAATGGCGTGTTTTATCATCATCGTCAACGTTTTTGTGTTCGTGAACCGATGAAAACAAGAACACAAGATTTTGACCAAACACAAAACTATGATTGCTCTAGCTTACACGAGAATCAAGACGATTTCAGCAACATCTAGTAAACGTTTTGTTAGTGTTTCTTCTCCAAAACGGTCGTAATATATACTACGAAAAAAAATACACCAGCTTTCTCACAGAGATGATAATATCATCCCAAAACTAGCAACATCCGGAAAGCCAAAGAAGGAATGGCGACAAGAAGAGGAAAATCCCAAACATCGAAGATGTTTCCCTGTGGCCCTCTGATCGGAAGCTATGCTGTTATACAGTATGAGGCGGTCCTTTGCACGTAGCACGGGTTCAGGTAAGTTCTGAAAAGAGTTTATTTTGAAAAAGAAAACAGTTGAAACAGTTTATTTTGATCAGATTAACCCCTAAAGGCGTCATATTTTGGCACCTACACTCCCTGAATGGAACGTATTTACAATAGGGTAGATTTGATTCAATTTACTTTGTAAAGAAATGACATTCAAAAAAATTGACTTTTTCTATCGCCCCAATGTTACACGATGCAGCTTTAGCCAATAAAACCATCTTACCATTGGTTTGGCCATCCCTGTCAGCAAAGATGGGAATGCAGAGGATTATTCAAAGCCAAACTGGCGCCCTAAGGAATAGTCTCGGAGAAGCATTCAAAGCATGATAGACGATCTAACTTTCTGTGGTTTGCGATAAACTACGTCATACCCCGGGACCGGCTCTTCGAATTCATGTTTTAGAATGACCCGGGGAAATCTAGGCACTACCTGTATCAGAACGATAGGAAAGGCAATTTTGGGACTTTTATTCAGCTAGGAGGAGCGTACGTACTTGAACTTGCTTTTTAATACTATCCTGGAGAAATATCTAGAGTGGGCGAGTGTGGCGTCGACTGGCCCGACACATTTTTGCTTGCTAAGTCAGGGTAGTGACTGGGATTAAGAGAAGGCGTTAGAATTACAGTTGGTGTTAGAGTTAGGGTTAGACTCGGGATCATTGCTCGGGCTAGGGTTAGTTAGACCGAGGATTGGGTTAGGTTTAGGTTTAGTTTCCGCATTATGACCAACCCCCTCGAACCCTAGCCTCCTTCGCAGACTTCTGATGCGGCGGCATTAATACTTTTTTTTCGGAAAGCGACGCGAGTTATGCCGCCAAGGGACGGTTTTGCCAGCGAGGAATTTTGCCGGGGAGA